TGTGTCCCCAGGCCAGCACTGCCAGGAGGCACCAGTGCCTCTGCTCAGAGCAGAAACATTGACCAGACCTGGAAAACACCAAATACATCTCAAAACTGTGCAAGAAAACCCCCTCGAGGCAGAGACAGGTTTTCCCAAAGGCAGCAGGTGGCAAACAGGATCCCAGCTGTGAGCTTTTTTCCCTTCTGGCTCCCAGCTTCTCCAGTGCTGTGAGAGAACTCCAGGGATCAGTCTGAGGCATTGATTGGTGTCAGGGAGCCAAGCAGGACAATGTTTGTAACCAACAGCTCCTGCCCAGAGCAGCTGTGGCAGCCCTGGATCCCTGGCAGTGCCCAAGGCCAGGCTGGGCAGGGCTTGGAGCAGCCTGGGACAGTGGGAGGTGTCCCTGCCATGGCAGGGGTGGAGCTGGATGGGCTTTAAGGTCCCTTCCCAACCCAATCCATCCTGGGATTCTGCAGATGTGGTTTCAGAGAGCTTTACTGGAGTTGCTGGGAGCTCCCAGGGAGTGCTGCTGGCCGTGGCTCTGGAGAAGTTCAGGAAGAGCAGGAGCCACCACGACCAGCAGCACTCCTGGGTCTCCTCCTGCATCTCCTGCTGTGCTGCAGGCTCCAGTGAGGAAAATGCACAATCTTTCTAACAATTTTGTCAGGCTGAATTGTTAGAAAGGTGGGTTTAGACACTGGATTAGACTGAAATTAGAAACTCAGAGTGAAAATAATCCATCATCTGCCAGTCTGTCCACAGGGAGAGCCTCTTCCTGCCTCCCTCCATCCCTCCATGTGCCTTGTCAGGGCAAGAGGCACAGAGGGGCCCAGGATCCCTGCAGCTTGTCCCCATTTATCTGGGAGATCCCTCAGGAGGGCAAGGGAGAGCTGCAATGCAGGGAGTGCTCCAGGGGACATGCTGTGCCCTTGGTGACAGCCCAGAGGTCTCTTGCCACAGGGCTGGAGCTGTCTTGCTGTGGGGAGGGGAAAAAAGAGTTCTTCAAATTCATCTGCTTCCAGCTGCTGGGTTCAGAGCCAGAAAACACTCCCAGAGCAGTGATGGAACCTGCCACAGGGCTGGAGCTGTCCTGCTGTGGGGAGGGGAAAAAAAGTGTTCTTCAAATTCATCTGCTTCCAGCTGCTGGGTTCAGAGCCAGAAAACACTCCCAGAGCAGTGATGGAACCCTGGAAATTGAGATTTCAGACTTTCTGTGCTGACAGGCACTGACCCCCAGGAGAACACTGCATTGTCCTGAGGCCAGGGAGAAAGCTTCCAAAATGGAATGACAGAACTGGGATACCTCACACATTTCATCCATGGCAAAAAAGAAGCAAAGATTGCTCCCAGAGCAGCACATCCCAGAGAGGTTTTCCCTGCATTTCCAATAAAAAGTTGCAGCACTGAGCTCAGCAGCCCCAGGGGCTGGGCTCCCACAGCCTGGAGCACACTCCTCACACAAATGCCAACTTTACCCAGTGCTGAGCAAATTCCTGCCCATCTCCAGGACCACAGGAGCTCCCAGGGCTCATCACAGACAGCACCAGCTTATGGGACTGCAGAAGAAGAAGAAAGGGTGACCCAGCAGATTGTCCCCAGCACACAGGGTCCCCTCCTGGCCCTTTGCTTATCTCTTATCAGGAACCTGTAAAAGCCCCCATGAGCACACCCCAAGGGCCAGCCCAGACCCTGCCCTGCTCACACAGCACAGGACAGACAAGCACTTCCCAAAGGAGCTGCTTTCTTGGAGGGCAGCACCCCCAGGGGGTTTGGAGCCAGTCCCAGGGCATCCCATGGGCTGGGAGGGTGCTGGAAGCTCAGAGCAGCTCTGGCAGCCAGTCCCAGGGCATCCCTTGGGCTGGGAGGGTGCTGGAAGCTCAGAGCAGCTCTGGCAGCCAGTCCCAGGGCTCTGCTGCTGCCTGCCAGCCACATCTGCTTCTCCCCACGTGTCCATCCAAGAGTGGGAGATGTGGAGCCCAAAGATTGCTGAAGCCTCAAGCAGCTGCCCCAGGGGCAGAGAGGGGCAGGAGGAGCAGGGAGCAGGAGGACAGCACTGGGGCAGGGGTGGCAGTCAGGTCCTCTCCAGCAGACACATTTCTCCTCAGCAGGTTCCCTGGGATTCCCTTTCCATCCCTAAAATCATTCATGTGTAATTAAATCAACTGATGCCAGCTCAGCCTCCAGCCTGGAAGAGCAGCTCTGGGTGACACAGTCACCCACGTGTCCCATGGCATCTCTGTCTTGGAGGAGCTCAAACTGGGGAGGGACAAGGCCCTGAGAAACCAAATGTGACCTGGAAATGGCTCTGCTCTGAGCCCTCCTGGGGGCTCTCCCAGCTGGCTGAACCAAGGACTAAAATTATTGTTTTATTCCACAGTCTCCAGGAGCTTGAGGAAGGAACACAAATGCAGGGGGGAAAGTGGTTGGTACCACAGGTGGTTGGAATGTGACAGGAATGGGATGAACTCCAACCAAGGGACCTGGGATAAAACAACCTGGGAAAAAACAACCTGGGAAAAAAAAAAATCTGGGAATAAACAGCCTGGAAAAAAACAGCCCTGTGCACCTGCAAAGGCTGGGGCAGCCAGCAGAGAGTGCAGGGCAAGACCTGGGCCAAAAGCTGAGTGTGGAGCAGCCCAGAAAGTCACCAGGGCTGGCCCAGGGACAGCAGGGACAGGGAGCAGCTCCTGCCCTGCTGCTCAGCTCTGCTGGGGCCTCACCTCAGCTCCTGCCATGGACTCCCAGCCCAAGAGAAACAGAACCAAGGGGTCAGAGAATCTCCTGAGCTGGAAGAGACCCAACAAGGACCTCCAGGCCAACTCGCAGCCCTGCTCAGGACACCCCAACAATCCCACCACGGGTTGGGAACACGCTGAGCCAAAACTCCCTTTATTTGCCCACAGTGGTGCCTGCACAGGGAGCTCTCTGCTCCAGGTTCGTGATGGTCACTGTGGCACAGAGCTGCTGCTCACACACCTCTGAACCCTCAGGCTGTCCCTTCAGTGGCAATGTCTGGCCAGTTTGACCCACTCTTCCCACAGTTTGATGCTGGGCCACTGGCAGCCCTCAGGGATCCATTTTCAAAACAGCGTGCAGGAAGTGTGAGCACAAATCTTACTTGTTAATGGGCTTTGTGAACATACCTCCTCTGATTTTTCAAAATTTAGAATGACAAAACAGCCACTTCATAGGAGAAGCAGGTTTAAATATATAGCATATGATGTCTTTTTCTTGGGGGCATTGGGCAGATGACATACATTATTAAGGCCACAGAGTGTTTTTGTGGTCACTATGCTTTACTTCCTCAAGCCTTCAAAGAGAACAAAATAATAAAATAATCTCTGCAGGCTTTTTGATTAAATCAATCCCACAGTTCTTAGCTAACTCTTCTTTCCTTGAAGGAGGAAAAGCAACAAAAGACTAGTCCCTAATTTGGTGAGGAAAAAAAATAAAACAAACATTATTAAACACTTAATGGCAAAGATTATGCAAGAATTAAATAACAAGAGAGTATATGGAAAGACTCCATAGTAATATTGGATCTAATTCTCCTTTTAAACTGCTGAGAAATGGTTCCTTTTAATCGCACAGGAAAATGCAATAAATGCGTGTTATTTTTTCATAAATGTCAAACAGAAGGGAAAAAATGTGATTCATGAAGTATGTGAATATGGAATCGATTATTATCATTTATAGCTCCCTGGAGCAGTGGAAAGGATCCTCTCAAACCTGTCTTGCACCTTCCCCAGCTCACAGCAGCTTGCTGAGCCTGGTGTCCATCCAGGTGGAGCAGTGGTGGTTCAGTCTCTGCCAGGGCCACAGGTGCCCAGCCAGCCTGGGGCAGTGGCACTGACACCTCCGAGCCCAGAGCAGCCCTGTGCAGGATTGCTGATCCCTGAGCTGCTCAGCTTGGCCTTGGGCAGGGCACCTTCCACCCTGCACAGCTGAGAAGCTCTCACGCCGTTCTCCTGGCAGCTGAGAGAGCCCAGGCTGCTCCCCAGGAGCTGCTGCCCTGGCTGCAGCCCCCGGCAGGTCCTGTCAGATCCTCCAGCCCCCTGGGGGTTCTCAGGGGCTCTGGAGCACCCAGGATGGCTCCGTGCAGAGCTGGGTCCCCCTGTGCCCCCCAAGGCCAGGGGTGTCCCCAACTTCCCACACCAGCGCTGTCAGCAGAGCTCTGTTCCCTCAGGAATCCCTCAGGAATCCCTCAGGAACCCCTGGGGTTCAGAACTTTGTCCCTTTGAGCTCTTGGCTCATCAAACTACCCCTGTGTTGGACTCAGCCCTTTTCTGACCCAGCTTTAGCTCCTCTAATCTCTCTTCTAGGCCAACCTTATCAAGGCATCACTTTCTGTTTCCATTTCTCTCTCAGCAATGTCTGTCCTGTTCCATGGCATTTCCAAGTCAGCATTTCTTATCTCCAGGTTTGCACACAGATGCACACTGTGTGAGCCTTCTGCCAGGCTTGGAGAATTCCCTACAAATCCATTTCCCACACCCTGGGAACGGTTTGGGCAGGGTTGGGGTGATAAGTGGCATCAGGGTGGGGCACGGCCAGGCATGGGGGTGTTCCCCAGTCCTGACACTGTCCCCTGTTGATGTAGGGTGACTCTAATGTAGGGAATAATGTGCTCTGACTCCATGATTTAGAAGGTTGAACAATTGCTTTATGAAGCTATACTATATTACACTAATACTATACTGAATTACATACTAAAGAGATACTATACTAAGGAATACTAAAGAAAAACCTGTGACTGTCTGAGGCAGTCAGGACACAGCTTTTGACTCAGCCAACCAAGGAATCAAAACAACTTCCACTAGTGTCTAATTAACAAATCACTTTGGGTAAACAATCTCCATAACACCTTCCACATGTGCCAAACAACAGGAGCAGCAAACAGAAATAAGGATTGTTTTCTTTTCTTCTCTGAGTTTCTGTTTTTCCCTGAGAGAAACCCTTGGGCAGTTGTGCCTGCTGCTCTCAGAGAAGAGAGCCGCAGCCCCGTTGTGTCCCCGCAGGTCGCTGGCCCTGGGCCAGCAGTACAGCTCGCTGGGCTCCCAGCCCATCCTCTGCGGCTCCATCCCCGGCCTGGTCCCCAAGCAGCTCCGCTTCTGCCGCAACTACATCGAGATCATGCCCAGCGTGGCCGAGGGGGTGAAGCTGGGCATCCAGGAGTGCCAGCACCAGTTCCGGGGCCGCCGCTGGAACTGCACCACCATCGATGACAGCCTGGCCATCTTCGGGCCCGTCCTGGACAAAGGTACCCGGGGGGCAGCGGGCTGGGGCAGGGCTGGCACAGCTCCCTGAGCTTTGGGGGACACCAGGATTGTGCACTGAGCTCCCTGGGCTTGGGGGGCACCGGGACGGTGCACTGAGCTCCCCTGGGATTTGGGGGGCACCAGAACTGTGCACTGAGCTTCCCTGGGCTTTGGGGGGCACCAGGACTGTGCACTGAGCTCCATGGGATTTGGGGTGCATGGGCATTGTGTACTGAGCTCTCCTGGGCTTTGGGGGGCACCAGGACTGTGCACTGAACTCCCCTGGGCTTTGGGGTGCACCAGGATTGTCCTGCTGGACAGGGAGAGGGTCTGATGTGTCGTGGCAGGCTCCAAGTCAGGTAATAATTAGTATTGACTCTATGATTGCAGAAGGTTGATTAATTGTTTTATTATACTACATTATTAAGAAGCTTGTAATTCTTACAGAGAGTCTGATACAGCTTTGACTTAATTGGTCAATCTCTTCAAACACCATTTAGTGTCCAATTAAGAAACTATCTTTTGGCAAACAATTTTCATAACACATTCTACATGTGTACAACAACAGGTGCAGCAAGTGGAGATAGGAATTGTTTCTTATTCTTTTCTTTGTGAGTTTTCTCTGAGCTTTCTCACAGCTTCCCAGGAAAATCCTGGCAGAGAGCTGTCTCTCTCTGTTCAGAGGACATGTGGTTACCACACTCAAGTGCCAGCTTTCAACCCTGATTTCTCCAATTTCTTTCTCTTCCAAGTTTTTGGCGTGTTCCCATCACAAGGAGGGAAAGGTTGCCATCCCAGGAGCTCAGAAGGGCCAGGGAGGATACAAAGGAAGGGAAGGTTTAACCCCAAGCACTCTCATGTCTTCTGGGATCAGGGGCTCCACCTCCCTGTCCTGGGCATGCAGCATTTCCAAAGTGGGTCCAGCAGACCCGTGGGAAGAGCCAAGGAGAGGGGCTGTGGCTGAGCTCTTTGGGCTCAAGGCAGAGAGCCACTGAAGCACAAACTGCCCACCCCAGGAGAGCCCTGGGCTCAGGTTTCCCCTCCAGTGAGCAACCATGGTTGAAATCCGTGGTCCTGATCAGGCTTAGTTCAATAAATCTTTTTTTTCAATGGGATTTCAATGAATCTTTTCACAAATGAGCCCAAAAAGCAGGAAACAAGGAGAGGTTATAAATTCATTTTCCCTCTCCTCTCTCTAAACTCCTCATCGTGCCCTACTCCTGAAATGCCACCTTCTAAACTGGCACAGGTCAGGCACACTGGAGCACTGATGAGGCACCAGAAAATTGGGGTTCCCAGTGACATCATGGGGCATTACGCTGGAAAAAGTGAGAAAGGGCCCCAAAACAGCCTGGAAGGAGGTGCTGGAGGGACAGATCATAGAATCACCAAATTCCCTGAGTTTGAAGGGATCATCCAGAGCAGCTCCTGCCCTGCCCAGACCCCCCAAAATGCCACCCTGGGCATCCCTGACAGCGCTGTCCAACCCTCCTGGAGCTCTGGCATTCCCTGGGGAGCCTGGGCAGTGCCAGCACCTCTGGGGGCAGAACCTTTCCCTGAGATCCATCCTGACCCCCCCAGCACAGCCCCATGCTAACCTGTCCCACATCTCGGTTGTCCCAGAGCCCAGATTAAAAGGCATTCCCACAAAACTGATCCAAGTGGAGAATTAAAAGCTCCCAGTGGATAAAAATCTCCGTTTTCTCCCGTGAATTCTGTTCACTCTGTGCCACATTCAGCACAAGGGACATCCACAGGTGATATCTTGGTTCTACAGCTTCATAAACGCAACCAAAACCATTTCCCCCTCCTCTTCCTGGCTGCTGACACCACTGGGTCCCTGCAACCCAAAATCTCTTTATTGGACAGAAATTATTGTTTGCAGTGGTGCTTTGGAAATGGGCATTTTATGGTACTGGCTTCAAAGAACTGGAGAAATTGGGGTGAGAGCAGGACTTTGGACTCTTTCCCAACAGCCCCCTGAAGAATGCAGGAGTCCTGGTGAATCTTTCTTTCAAAGCCCCAATATTCTGCAAAGAAACAGTTCATGAAATCCTTTTTTCCAAATTTCAGCCTCCCAGTGAGGGTAGGTATCGTTTCAGATCCCCAAAATGTCAGTTGAGAATTTCAGTGAAAATCATTCCTTTGTGTTAATGTGGGGTTCTTTGCAGGAACCAGGATTGTCAAGCCTTATTAGAGCACTAATAGGCACCATGAGATTCATTTCCCCTCTGTTGTGCCAGGGTGTATTTTGGGGTATCTGTTGTATTTACTACCAAATAACTTGTCAGCAGGGCTCAACACACTCTGATTTGCTGCCTAATAAAAGCCTGTCCTAAATTTCAGCACTTAAAAGATCAGAAAGTTTTAATTTTCTTAAAAAATGTTCACTAAAAAACTGTCATAAAAAATTCTAAACAAGTTATGAAAGAACTGCTCAAGCACTGAGACACTGAAAATCTCTCAGCACCTTTTCTGTCAGCGGGAAAGCACTTAAAGATCAGATTTGAACCATCCTCCCTGTAATGAGCAAACTGAACTTTGAATTTATGGAGAATATTTTAAGATTCTTTCGGCTGCAGGGACTCGAGCAAAGCCTCGTGTGTGGACTTGCCTCAGCATCTCCACACAGCCCGAGCTGACAAGGTAAAATATCACCCAGAGCCCTGAAACTCTTCTGACAGATGGAGAAAAATGAGTGAGCACGTTGGATATTCAGCTTTCCCAGTCCCCCTGTGACACCTCCAGACAGCCCTGCCAGGCTCCCAGCGTGTATTTATCCTGGTGTCTCACTAACCTGTAAGTGGAGCAGTTAAAAATAAACAGCATCATCTGCAAAGGAGGACACATCAAAGCCCAGCCCATCTGATGGTGGGGATTATTCACATTTTTGAACTGTGCTCGTGTCTTTTCCCTGCTGCCTTCAAAATTAATGAGCAGATTGAGGATGGGACTGGTGTCACTGTGTGGCAGCGAGGAACACAGGGAGCCTTTGAGATTCCCAGAGTCTGCAGCAGAGAAAATCAGAACCTTTCCAGGCTCCCCCAGCTGAGGGAGGAGAGAGGGGATGTGGTTGAGCTCACAAGGCTGGTGGCAGAGCTGAGAGGTGCTGGCAGCTCTGAGGAGGGTGGCACCAGCCCTGCTCATCCCTGACAAGAGCTGTGGACACTCCTGGCCTTCAGAGATCATGGAACAGGCTGAGCTGGAAGGGACCTTTCCAAGAGCATCTGGTCCCACTCAGCCTCTTCCTTGGATGGAAAAGGAGTCACAGACTGGGTTGGGTGGGACAAAGCCCCCCCAGAGCCACCCCTGCCATGGCAGGGACCCCTCCCACTGTCCCAGGCTGCTCCCAGCCCCAGTGTCCAGCCTGGCCTTGGGCACTGCCAGGGATCCAGGGGCAGCCCCAGCTGCTCTGGGCACCCTGTGCCAGGGCCTGCCCACCCTGCCAGGGAACAATTCCTAATTCCCAATCTCCCATCCAGCCCAGCCCTCTGGCAGTGGGAGCCATTCCCTGTGTCCTGTCCCTCCCTCCCTTGTCCCCAGTCCCTCTGCAGCTCTCCTGGAGCCCCTTTAGGTGATTCTCAAACCAAGAGTTTTGGGCCCATTATCTGGATCCTGTGGCCACCATTGCCATGTTCCCTTTTCCTGATTTCCAGCACACCCAGGGGTGCAGCCCCACAAACCAAACCCAAACCCAAACCAAGGCAATCCCTGTCCCAGCTCACACTCTGCATTTGGCCACAATTGTTGGGGTTTCACCTCACAAACACCTGGGTGAAACCCCCTGTCAGCATTAACTTGGATCATCTCAGCTGCTGCTCCCTCAGGTGGATTGAGGCTATTTTGGAAAAGCTTCAAAGGTGCAGTTCTCACTACAACAGCGTCAAAAATCTTTTCTAATAGAGCCTGAAAAGAAACAGAGAGTAATTTCATTTTAAAGGAGCTTCAGACATGTTAACCATGGTCACTTGCAGTGAAGGAGGGCTCGGCCTGCAGAGCAGCACAGTGTGGGAGTGCTCAGCTGAGCAGACATCATGTCCAGGTGTGTGTCCAAGCCTTCCTGGGCTGCTCCTCCCTGGGGCATCCTCCAGGCTGTGAGCTCTGCTGCCAGTGTGGGGGCACAGGGCTGCCCTCCCTGAACACCCAAGGGATTCCTGCCTCCAGGGCCTCCCCAGTGGCACCCACAGCCCCAAGCTCTCCTCCTGCAGCCCCTGGCAGGGCACAGAACACAAGGGCAGCTCAGGGAAACCCCAGGGGCTGAACCCATTTGGGAGCTGCTGAACAACTCCCCTGGCGAGGCTCTGCCCTCACCCACCTGGGCTCTCCACGTTTCCCACCCCAGAGTCAGACTCACAAGGTTTTGGCTGCTGTGGGTGCCCAGGCTTTGGTTTCCTAAGGCCACTGATGATCCTCTGCAAGACAGAACAGGCTGGGAGAGCTGGGGGTGCTCACCTGGAGAGGAGAAACTCCAGGGAGAGCTCAGAGCCTCTGGCAGGGCCTGAAGGGACTCCAGGAGAGCTGCAGAGGGACTGGGGACAAGAATCTATCAATGAAAGGACACAGGGAAAGGTTCCCACTGCCAGAGGGCAGGGCTGGATGGGAGATTGGGAATTAGGAATTGTTCCCTGGCAGGGTGGGCAGGCCCTGGCACAGGGTGCCCAGAGCAGCTGGGCCTGCCCCTGGATCCCTGGCAGTGCCCAAGGCCAGGCTGGGCATTGGGGCTGGGAGCAGCCTGGGACAGTTGGAGGTGTCCCTGCCATGGCAGGGGGTGGGATGGGATGGGCTTCAAGGTCCCTCCTAACCCAAACTGTTCTGTAGTTCTGTGATTCTATGTTTTCTTTTTTTTTTTCATGTCTTATTTATTAGCCCAGGCCATTAAAAAAAAAAAAATCCCAGAAAACCAACCCCTGAGTGTGGGGTAAGATCATGTTTTTACAAGCAGATTCCCCAAGATGATTTATACTGCAGGTGTGCAGTCTGGGATAAGGAGTGAAGAAAAACCTGCTTTCCCCTTCCCTCCTTTCCCTTTTCTTTGTAAAATAAGGTCAGCTCTTATCTAAAGCCAATGGCTCTTCCAGCCAAGTCCTGCCCGAACCAGGGCTGAGCCAGCAGCCACACATTGCTCTGGGGGGGGGCAGCAATCACAGTTCTCTGGGCTCCTGATGAAGTCCAGGATTTTGGTTAAAGCTGGCACACACACAGGCTGGCTGCGAGGGCAGCTGGACAGCGATTCCTGGGCTGGGCAGGAGGAGCAGGGCAGCAGGGCTGGACTGCAGAGGTCAGCTTTGCAGGCTCACGCCTTTCCCCACTCCCTGAGCTCCTGTCCTGGCTGCCCTGGCTCCTCTCCTGCCCTGGATTTTGCGTGGCCAAGCTTTGGTAGTGAGGGGCTCTGTGAGAAGCTGCTGGAAGCTTTCTCCATGTCCAGCAGAGCCAGTGTCAGCTGGCTCCAAGACGGGTGTGCACTGGCCAGGGCTGGGCCAGAAGCAGTGGCAGTGCCTCTGAGAGAACAGATTTAAGAAGGAAAAATAAGTAACTGTGCAGTTGTAACTGTGGCCTGAGAAGAGCAGGTGAGAGGAACAGCTCTGCAGACACCAGGAGCAGAGGAGGAGGAGGAGGAGGAGGAGGAGGAGGAGGAGGAGGAGGTGCCCCAGGCACCAGATCTGAGGTTCCCCTGCAGCCCGTGGTGCAGCCCATGGTGAAGAAGGATGCTCCCCTGCATCCTTCCATCCACCCCTGGAGGACCGTGGTGGTCCCCAGTCCCTGTGCTCCTGTCCCCTCAGCCCGGGCTGCCCTGGCTCCTCTCCTGCTCGGGACATTCCCGGGAAGATGCTGCGGGGCCGGGGCAGGTGCAGGGGAGGCAGCTGGGCCCGGGCTGCCGTCGGGGGTCCCGGTGAGCTCGGCTAAGCCCCTGACACGAGCTGTGAAAAGGCAGACCCGCACCACGATAACCCAGGGCTTTTCTCAGCCATGACACTCGCAGTCATTTGCATCTAAACAGGGGTGTGTGGGATCAGGGGCCGGCTTGATATAAACTCAGCAGCTTAAAGGGAGGGGGAGGGAAAGGAGAGAAGGAGAGAGAAAAATAAGCTTATACCGATGAGAAAGAGCTAAGCTTCCTCCCCTACTGTGAGGCAGGGCGAGCGATACCATCGCAGCGCCGCAGTCGTTTCAAATCGCTGCCGCATTCACACGCCCTTTAGCCATTCTGGGGGGCTGGGGAGCGCCATCAATAGGGATTTCCCAGCCGGGCTGGCGGGATTGGAGGGTGACGGCAGGACAGGGGAACATTGCCCCGTTGCTACGAGGTGCTCCTGGGGAATGCCAGTGCTCTGTGCCGTGGGTACGCTGGCCGGCGGAAACATTCCGCATTATGCTGGTAATACAGTGTGACACCGCGGGAACAATGGCAAATTGAGTGTCCCAGCAGGTAACGGGCCTGGCTGGGAGACAGTCGCAGTGGTGCACTGTCAAGGCGGCTCTAATCCTCCCTCGCCAGCCCCTCCCCTGGTTCTGGGAACGCTGCTCCTGCATTTCATCTCTGGGAAATTCTCCCAGCTCCTCGCCCAGAGCCGGGCGAGAATTTCAAGGCGAGCGGTTTGAGCGCAGCTCGCTCCCCCCCGCGCCGGCACCGTGCGGGGGACACGGGGACACGGGGGGCACAGGGGGTACAGGGGACACAGGGGACACAGGGGGCACAGGGGGCAGGGGAACAGGGGGTATAGGGGGTACAGGGGACACGGGGGAACGAGGGCCACGGGGCAGCTGCAGGAGCCGTGTCCATCGCGGCCCTGCCTGGCGGGCACTGCCAGCCCGGCTCGGTCCTGCCCAGCCCGGCTCAGCCCAGCCCGGCTCGGTCCCTGCCCAGCCCGGCTCAGCCCAGCCCGGCTCAGCCCAGCTCGGCTCGGCCCAGCCCGGCCCAGCCCCCTGGCAGTGACCCTGCTCCCGTGCCCATCCACACCTCCCAGGGACAGCGGAGCCACCTCGGTCCCGAGAGCGACTCGTGTCCTCCCCCTGTCCCCGGGCTGTCCTGGGCTGGGGCCAGGAGGGCTCGCTGGCTCCTTGATGCGACCTGCTGTGGATCAGGGGCCACCCAAAGAGCCTTTGTCAGGCTGAGACACCTCACTGGCAGCAGGGACCTTCCACCGGTGCCCACAGCCCCCAGCGGTGCCAGTAGGAGCAGCTGGTGAAAGATCCCCCAGGAAAACCTGGCTGGTGGAGGCTGGATCCCTGCTGGCACATCGGAGATGGGAAGGGCAAGGAGGGAAGAGTTTGAGCTGAAAGGAGATGAAAACCTCAGCAGGGTGCTGCCAGCACAGCCAGGACTGAGCAGCCCTGCTTGGAGATCCCATTTGGAGCTCCCTGGGCAGGGCTGCACATTCCCACAGCTGGCAGCCACCCACAGCCACCTCCCCTGAGAGCCTGCTCGGGCTGGCATCAGCTCAGCTCGGCAAACCTGCCTTTTGGGAGCCAGGGCCACCTCTGCAGAGAGACTGAGGCTGGCAGAGGGGCCTGCTGTCCCCAGGCACAAGGGCAGGGATTCAGGGGACAGCTGAGAGACGGCTCCTTCATGGCTCCTGCTCTGGAAGGAGGGGACTGGCTCCAAGGTGATTTTCTCAGCAGAAATTTCTGATTCATCCCACATCTGCTGATGACTGTCCCCATGATCTGATCACACCAGACCCACGAGGCAGTCAGAGCCCTCCAGCCCAGGCTCCACAGCCCCTGAGCTTTGGCCTCCAGCCCCTCCTGCACACTGGCACAAGGTTGGATTGACCCCAACATCTGCTCTGGATTTAGAGACCTGAAGTCTCCATCCTCATAGATGGGCTGAAGCAGCCTGGTGTCACTGCCCAGGGAGCTGCACCTCTGCAGAACTCTGAGCCAAAAGGTGTCCCAGGGAAAAGCTGCCTCTGAGATACCAACTGTGCTTGGGAGAGCCTGAGTCAGTGCAGCCACTGAGGCCAAGGTCAAACCCCTGTTCTCCCACAGTGTGTCCTGGATCATCCAAAACCTTTCCCCAGGTTAATGAGCTCCTCCATCTCTAACCCCTGGCATGGAGCCCTTCTCTGGGTTCCCAGGCCAGGAATTACTCCAGTAGCTCTCTCCTGAGGCCCCTCAAGCTGCTACTGACACCTTGTTCACCCCTGAGCTGGATGAAATCCTGGACCCTGTGTTTGGGAGATGCTGCAGCTGTGACCCCCAGAGCTGGAGTCACAGCCCTGCCCCACCTCCTGCTGCCCGAGGGCAAGGCTGGCTGCTCCCGCTCCAGGAAACCTCCATTAACAAATTAACAGAATAACTTCTGGCTTTCCAGTGAGGTTGAGGTGCTGCTGGGGGAGGCTGGGAAGGAGAACACCAGAGTGGCACTGACCAGTGACCCCCGGGCTCTGTCTCTGCAGCCACTCGAGAATCTGCCTTCGTGCACGCCATCGCCTCGGCCGGGGTGGCCTTCGCTGTCACCCGCTCCTGCGCCGAGGGCACCTCCACCATCTGTGGCTGCGACTCCCACCACAAGGGACCCCCAGGCGACGGCTGGAAGTGGGGGGGGTGCAGCGAGGACGCCGACTTCGGCGTGCTGGTGTCCCGGGAGTTCGCGGACGCGCGGGAGAACCGGCCGGACGCGCGCTCCGCCATGAACAGGCACAACAACGAGGCCGGCCGGACGGTGAGTGCCCAGCGGGCAGGCTGGGTGTGGTCTTTGAGAGGGGCTCCAGGACGAGGGAAGAGATGAATCACAGAATAATGAGGGGGGAAGAGACCTCTAAGATCATCAGGTCCAACCTATGCGCTAGCATCTCAACCGGACTGTAGCACCAAGTGCCATGTCCAGTCTTTTTTTAAACAATCTGACTCCATGATCTCAAAAGGCTGATATTATATTATATTATATTATATTATATTATATTATATTATATTATATTTATTATATTATATTTATTATATTATATTATTATACCAAAACTATACTAAACTATAGAGAAAGGATACATCAGAAGGCTTAACAAGAATGAATAACAAGAACTCGTGACTGCTTCCAGAGTCCCGACACAGCTGGATCCTGATTGGTCATTAAGTTAAAACAATTCACATGAAAACAATCAAACATGCACCTGTTGGTAAACCATCTCCAGACCACATTCCACAGAAGCAAAACACAGGAGCAGCAGTCAGATAATTATTGTTTTCATTCCTCTCTGAGGCTTCTCAGCTTCTCAGGAGAAGAAATCCTGGCGAAGGGGGTTTTCAGAAAATATCATGGTGACAGCTGAGGTCAGTGGGGACAGGCTGAGTGGCCAGTCCTGCATGGATGGCCCAGTGCAGCTCCTCCTGATGGAGTGGGACCACAGGAATTCCCAGGCAGCGACTTTCTAGGATTATTTTCCAGGGCACGGCATTTCCTCTCCCTCCAAACAGACACGTGGGGTTAAGAGCTAAAATATTCCTTGATTCCAGTGCAAACAGAATTCCAGAATTCTGTTTGGATTGATGGGACCTTAAAGCCCAGCTTGTTCCACACCCCTGGCATGGGCAGGGACACCTTCCACTGTCTCAGGCTACTGCAAGCCCTGTCCAACCTGGCCTTGGACACTTCCACAGGTGGGGCAGTCACAGCTTCCCCAGGCATCCTGAGCACCTTCCAAAGCCATAGAAACCCAACCCCAGGTCAGCAGTGGCTGAAGAGGATTTTCCTCCCAGTGCCTCCTTCCTGCATGTTCCCTATTATAACATTATCCCACCCAGTGATTCCTTGGAGTAGATGACAGTCACAGCCCCATCCAACTGGAATATTCCATTCCATTCCATTCTATTCCATTCCATTCCATTCCATTCCATTCCATTCCATTCCATTCCATTCCTGCAGCCAGCAAGTACCTGGGCCTCTGCCTGCCCTGGGTCATTTGCAAACCCAGTGGGACCTTTCCAACAGTGCTAGAAGCTAACACTGATATGAGTTTTCCACACCACAGCAAGTAGAGGTGGAAGGAGAGACGCCTGACAGCTTCCAGTACCAAAATCCCCCACCAAACTCCAGTAATTTTATTCAAAATCAGTGATTATTTTGCTCCACACAAAGGAGATTTTGGTGAAGAGTCCTGTCTGTAGATTCCAAATTTCACACACTTTTTAGTACAAACTGTTGGACTTGGGACATAAATGAAGGGTCATTAGCAAGGAGAGAACAGGGATCAGTCTCCATCCACAGGGCTCAGAAACATCTCCAGCCCTCAGCTTCTCTGGGCTCCAACTGTCCACACACATAGCACAGAAAGGACCCCCACAAAAGGATCAGACACTGGGACTAGGTTAGACTGGATTAAAATAGACTGGATTGGATTGGATTGGATTGGATTGGATTGGATTGGATTGGGTTGGATTGGATTGGGTTGGGTTGGATTGGATCGGGTTGGGTTGAGTTGGGTTGGGTTGGGTTGGGACTTCACTTAACTGGAAAGGAAATTGATTGATGCTGACACTCCTTTTATTCTAATCTCTAGCTCCAGGGGTGGATGATCAGAGCAGCTGCCCACCTCAGCTGTACTTTTGGAGTGTGACATCTCTGGAGACCTTTAAAGCCCCCCAGCATCTCCAACCCATGCTCACAGAATCACAGAACCAGAGAATATCCTGGGCTGGAAGGGACCTACAGGGATCATTGATTCATCTCCTGCTCTGCCCAGACACCCCAAAATCCCACCCTGGGCATCCCTGGCAGCACTATCCAAACCCTCCTGGAGCTCTGGCAGCCTCGAGGCCGGGACCATTCCCTGGGGAGCCTGGGCAGTGCCAGCACCTCTGGGGAAGAACCTTTCCCTGAGATCCAACCTAATCCTCCCCTGGCTCAGCTCCAGCCATTGCCTTGGGTCCTGTCACTGGTCACAAGAGTGAAGAGATTGATGCCATTCACTGCCCCCCTTGAGGGTGTGAGGACCTCATTGAGGTCTAACCTGTCTCCTCTCCTCCAGCTGAACAAACCAAGGGCCCTCATACAGCCCCTCCAGACCCTTCCCCATCCTTGTGGCCTCCTTTGGACGCTCTCTAGTGGCTTAATGCCTTTTTTTATGTTGTGGGGCCCAAAACTGCCCCTAAAACTCAAGGTGAGGCTTGCCAGACTGAGCTTAGATCAGACATTTAAGCCCAGGTGGCACAGGCAGGTGATGGAGAGCAAACCCCATGTTCCACCCACCACTCTGACCGTGCTTTGCCCCGCACAGACCATCCTGGACCACATGCACCTCAAGTGCAAGTGCCACGGGCTCTCGGGGAGCTGCGAGGTCAAGACCTGCTGGTGGGCCCAGCCCGATTTCCGGGCCATCGGGGACTACCTGAAGGATAAATACGACAGCGCCTCGGAGATGGTGGTGGAGAAGCACCGCGAGTCCCGGGGCTGGGTGGAAACTCTCAGGGCCAAGTACGCGCTTTTCAAGCCGCCGACGGAGCGGGACCTGGTCTACTACGAGAACTCCCCCAATTTCTGTGAGCCCAACCCGGAGACGGGCTCCTTTGGGACGAGGGACAGAACGTGCAACGTCACCTCCCACGGCATCGACGGCTGCGACCTCCTGTGCTGCGGGCGGGGCCACAACACCCGGACTGAGAAGCGAAAGGAGAAGTGTCACTGCATCTTCCACTGGTGCTGCTACGTCAGCTGCCAGGAGTGCACGCGGGTCTATGACGTCCACACCTGCAAGTAAGCACAGGTGGGTCTGCACTGGTGGAGGTGGCTCCAGAGCAGGGCTGAGGGGTCCATCAGCCCCGTGGTCAGCCCCACACGTGGCCTCACGCTGCAGAGGATGGCACAAAACTCCTGGTGGCCCCAGCCAGGGCACAAATGCAGGGCACCGAGAAGGCTCTGGGCACCTCACCCAGGCGAGGTGCGACTGCTGGTCCCTTGGGCAAGACAGACTGCCTGGGGAGGGCAGGACAGGACAGGGAGGGCAGGGACAGGTCAAGATGCCCTGGAGAGCAGGGACAGGACAGGGAAGGCGGGGACAGGACAAAAGCAGGGACAGCACAGGGAGAGCCTGGAGAGGACAGGGAAGGCAGGGACAGGACAGGCAGCAGAGACCAGGAACAGCTGGGTCCCAGTGAGGCACAGCCCCACAAGGCAGAGCTGCTGCCACAGCAGCCCCCGAGCTCCCAGCTCTGTCCTGCTCCACAGGTCCAGCCCTTGCAGGCACCAACACGGGGACTCAGGTGGAAATGGGTTGTTCACAGTGAAAGCTCCCCCAGCTGCTGCTGTCCTGGTCTCAGCAGATGCAGTGGGCAGAGGAAGGAGCCCCCAGCCCAGCCCAGCCCAGCTCCCTCGTCCCTGCTCCAAGGTGATGCTGGAGAGCCGAACCTGTCTGAGCACACCAAGAGCCCACCGGTGGTCCCTCCTTCCCCCTCCCCTCTTCCCTCTCTGTTCCCCCTGCCCCGCATCTCCCATGGAGCACTTCAGGCAGGCAGAGCACAGAGCTGACCCTCTGGCACCTGGCCCAGGACAGGAACAGGGCACAGGGCACTGCTGCCACCTCCTACAGGGCACAGCATCGTCCCAGCCCCTCCTCACCGTGCAGCTGCGCAGGAGAGGATTTTGGGGATCAGGGCAGTACCTACTGACTCTGCATTCCCTAACATGACTTTACATCCCAGAGGGAGCTCAGGGATCTCTCTGGGGACAGGTTACCTGCCAGGTGAGCTGCTGCACCAGCTCTGAACATGAGAGACTCCAGGGAGAGAGGAAATCTCTGTCCCAGCCTCCTTGTCTGCCTTCCCTCCAGCCAGTTGTGGTCCCACAGCACAATGCCAGGCAGAGCCTTCCCCTGCCAGGGGATTTACTGAGCTGTCAGCAATCACCCAGGAAGCTCCTGTGCCATGAGCAGAGATTTGGGATTTGGGCCACAGCCCACAGCCCATCCCATGCAGCAGAACCAGTGTTGGTCCCCCCCTGCTCCCCAGGCCATCCCCTGTCCCTGAGCACAGCCCCTCTCCCTGGGTTTACCTCCTCCAGGAGGACTGACCTGTGAAATTAATAAATAAATACTCCCTCTGTCCTGGTGGGCTGCAGGACCTCCAGCCACGCTCAAACACACCCCAGACAGTGAACTCCAGGGAGTGGGGCCACTCGGGCTGGGGCTGCTGCTCCACTCTCTCTCCTCCTGGGAATGAGCACCCCTGGGGCTGCACAGAGCAATAAAGGGGAGAGACCCCTGGCAGGGAGCAGGGGGGCCCTCAGGCAGAGCAGAACCCCAGGTCCCTCCCTGCAGAGCTCCAGACCCCCTTCAGAGCAGCCTTTGCTCCTGAAAATTCAAATCCCAGAGAGCTCCAAAAACCTCTCCCAGCCAGAGCCACGCCGTCCTCTGATATGCATCTATTTAAAGTATATATTAAATCCATGTCTGGAAAGACTCCCAGTACTCGACTTTAAATGAAATCCCTTCTTTGTTTGTTTGTTTTTTAATCAAGAAAAGGTATTTAATATTAAATAGAACATTTATTGCCTTGTAATTATTTTACTGTAGCCAGGTATTCTAGCACTGAATGGAAGATCTTTTTCCATCAATCTGCTGTATCCAAAGTTTTGTATAAAGTTGTAGAGGTCGATTTTTTTTTATTTTATATTCAGAAAATTTCTCTTTTTATAAGCATTATTTATTATACAATGTATATACTTGAGTTAACTAAGATTATATATTATATAAATATATATATTTGGAGAAAAATATATTTCAACTTCCATTTTTTGTGGTACATCATTAAAGAAAAGGTAAAAATTCAAAAATATGCACTTGCCAGCTTGTGTGGTTTGGCTCTGAGGGTCCTGATGAACAGCTACAGAGCAGTGGGTCATGACCCAGCTGCTCATGGACAGGGACAGCCACGGAATCATGGAATCCCAGAGTGGTGTGGGTGGGAAGGGACCTTAAGGGTCACATAGTTCGACCTCCCTGGCATGGACAGGGGTACCTGTTAAAGGAATCAAGACAATGATGGCAAAAAGAAGAAATTTTACAGCTGAATTCTGAGATTTTTGTTCAGGCAGTGCCAGGGCACAGTGTGCACAACTGAGATTCAGCAGTCATGGAACCCTTGGGGCTGGAAAAGTCCTCTAAGATCATTGAATCCAACCATTGCCAGCACTGCCAAGGCCACCACTGAGCCCTGTCCCCAAGTGCCACACCTACACAATCCCTCCAGGGATGGGGACTCCACCCCTGCCCTGGGCAGCTGTGCCAGGGCTGGACAACTTTCCATGGATAAATCTCCCTGAAATCCCATCTAAACCTGCCCTGACCCAGCCTGAGGCCGTTCCCTCTCCTCCTGTCCCTGTTCCCTGAAGCAGAGCCCGACCCCCCCTCACTGCCCCTCCTGGCAGGAGCTGTGCAGAGCCAGAAGATCAAATTAAGCAATGGATCAAGATGAAATTAAGCAATGGATCAAGCCATGCTCCAGACTTTGCACACTCCCCACATGTCACAGGCTGTCTCTGAATCACCTTCCAACACTTTGGACAGACCAAGATCCACATTTTTCAGATAAAAACTCATTCTCCTGTCCATGAATAATTCTGTGGATGTTTCTGCAGCATCCCCCTTGCATCAGCAATGCTTTTAAGTGCACACAATTTTCCACTGCACTGTCCTCAAATATCCCTGTCTGACGGGCAAAATAAATACAGAATCACTCATATTTTTGCCCTGATCCCCAAATTACTCACAAAGCCACCCCATGGATCCACGTGCAAGGCCAGGGTGTCTCTGCTGGTGCCACCACCCCTGACATGTCCTCACCAGAGCACCTGGTCCCTGGAGGGTTCTGGACTTCACAGCTCTGGGGGTGAAGCTCTCCCTGTCTGCCCCAAACCTTCCTCCAGCCCACACTGTGCCCCCAAAACCCATCCCAGCACCTTCAAATCTGCCTCTGGTCAACAACTCCATTTCAGGAACACATTTCTAGAAAGTTCAAGATGAAACAGGGTAAGGAAGGGGGTGAAGAATTCAGCCCTTACACTGAAAGCAAGATTGTGCATTTATGATACATTTAAAGCCCCTCTGCCAGGAGGAGCCATGGAGAACACACAGGTGGTGGGAAGGCGCTGCCCTTCCCTTGTGCCACCTGCAGGGAACATCTCAGATAGAGACCTTGGAACAGAGGTTGCGGTGGGTCAGGTGTCACACCCAGCAGCCCAGCCTGGCTTTCCAGCCTTCCCCAGGGCTGGGATACTTTCCACGAATAATGGAAATGAATAATTTCCATGGATACCCCCACCCCACACACACAGGGCCTCCTCAGCCCTGCAGAGCCCACACAGCTCCAGAATGGGCTGGACCAGAGTCCTCTCACTAACTTCTACTCAGGCTGGGCTAAATTCAGTCCATCCACACTCAGGCACACTCTGAGCACCCCTCTGGCAGCAGCAGCAGCAGCAGCCCAGGAGCAGCTCTGCTCCTCACACACACCAAGAGCAGACACAGATAGCACCCAGGTCATCACAAGGAGTTGTGCTTTTTATTGAATCCATTGAATGTGCAATTAAACCAGATATTTATTCATCAATATAGTTCTGGACACAGACACGATAAGGTTTACATCATTTACTCTGAAATATAAGTTACTGTGTGCTGCTGTCACTCAGACTGGCAGAGAGAAGGGAGGAACAAATAAATTCACAAGATCCTACACAAAATGAGAGGGAACCACCACTGGGACTCACAACAGCATCACAACACAACAGCACTGCCAAAGGAGCAGAGTGGAGTGCCTGAACCACTCCAACTGCTGTGAGCACACTGAGGACAACAGGACCTCCACCTGGGCCTGGAAGGACGTGGGGCACCCTCCTTCCCTGGGAACACCCCTCTGCATGCCACTGCTAGCCCTTAACAGTGGGTCTGGTCGAGTTTAGAAAGTACACTGACTAACATCTGCTAAATGGCTTTGATTTCATGCCCCACCACACTGAGGTATGTTCCAGGAACCTTCTGGAAGGAGTGGAGCCCAGGGGAGCAGCCTCAGCATCTCCCTGAGGCCTCAGGAGCACGGGAAGGAGCGAGGAGCAAGGTTTGATACATTCCTTTATTTCAGTGCAAAAACATGGCAACACACATCTCGTGCACCTGCAGAGCTTGGCTTCCTCTCTGTCTCTAAGGAGGAATTTCAACCTTTGGTAACATGGCAGGAAAAAGGGATAAAATGAGGCTGGAGGATACCAAAGCTGCCAGCTACAGGAACTCAGGAAGAGCTGGAGGCTGGAACCAGCATTGCTAAAACTGTTGTTGGATTAACAACAAGGTTTGATGCCTTAAATACTGGATTTGGAAATTTCCTCTACTCTGATCAACACTTCCCTGCCCTCTTCCAGTCCCCAGTGCCACCAGCAGTGTCCCATCAGGCCCCAAAATACCTGGGTATAAATAAAGTGGCTGCAGCATCCAGGCACTCCTGGAGCTGGACTCCTGTGGGCTCTGTCTGTGGGGCTGGGGTGGCACCACAAAAAGCCTTCACCTGACCAGGATCAGACAGAGCAGTGCTTCAGCATCCCTCCACCAGACTGGCAGGATTATTGGAAGCCAGGATCTCTTTCCTACTGCAGGAATGCTGGACACAAGTGAGGGTCAGCCCCAAACCTCACAGGACATTGCCCCTGCTCATCCCAAAACGCACAGAGACAGAAGCACAGTGTTCCAGGAGACACTTCCACATGACATCAGAA